CTCGGCCGCCCTTCTCACCATTCCTCCCGCCGCTTCTGCCCCACAGTGTATCAGACCTTCGACGGGTCGTGCACCATCTTGCAGCAGCGCTCCCCTGCCGTCGAAGGGTGTGATGCTCACTGGGCACGGGAGCTGTTTGACTGGATCCTTCGTGCCGGCTTCTCTGACGTCTGGCTCTTGACTGGCCTGGACTCAGCCGTGCGTGTCGACACCGACCTCCTGACGTGCGTTCGGCTCCCCCCCTCTCCATCTCCCAACGACTACTCCTCTTCCTTTTTTTCCTCTCGCTCTGTCGCGCGCGCGCTCTCTCTCTCTCTCTCCCCTCGCACACGCGCGCATCAGTCGCGCATCTTCCCGCTCTCTCCTCTGCCCGGCACCCTCTCACACCGGCTTTTCCCGTCTCCTGCCCACTCCTTCTCCTTCTTTCCCCCCCCCCCACCTGCCCTGTCCTCCTGATTTGCCGCGTCCTTGCAGCGATGCCAAGATCTATTTCAGTGCGACCCCACTCTGGATGGCCCGGATGGCCGAGAACCCGCACCTGTCTTTGCTGGCCTCCTCTTGGAAGCCGACCGGCATGCTGGTCGCCACGCCGCCGACCCCGGAGCAGCTCGACCAGGCGCGAGCCGGGGCCCTTGCCGAGGCCAGCGCCCTGTGCCAGGCCGAGAGCGCCGCTTCGGCCAGTTCTCCGGCCCCTGCCACTGTGGGGTCCCCCTCGGCCGGCAGCCATACCGGCGGGACCACGCCCACCGGCACGTCGGTCCTTTCCAAGATGCTCTCTCTGTCGGCCGCCTACAGCGGCATTTCCCCGGTCTTCTTCGGGCTCGATGCCACCGCTGGCCGGGGGCCCACCACCAGCGCCGACCGGGAGCTCCTCGAGCAAGATGCCAAGCTCCCCACTGGCAGCGGCTTCTCCCAGTACATCCTCCAGCGGGCGGCGCTGCTGTCGGCACATGCGGCTTCCTCCGGCCCCGAGGGGACCTCCTCGATCGCCAGCGACGAGGCCAAGGGGGGGGCCGCCACTTCCGTGGTGACCCCCCCGGCTGTCGTGGCCTTGGCCCGCTTCACGGCCGACGGTGACAACAAGTCTGACGCCTACATCGTGGCCACGGCCGTGCATGCGGCCCTCTTCGCCGCGCCGGACGCGGCCAAACGCAATGTCGGCCCGGGTGGTGGCTTTGTTGAGACTTCGCTTGCCTGGCCACAGCCCTTCAGCTGGCGGCAGCTTTATGGTTCCCCCCTGCCCGATGCTCTCTTCACTTGAGTGTGTCCCAGCGTGGTGTGGGCGGTGGGCCGGCCCGTGAGAGGGGCGGAGTGGAAAAAAGAGCAATGCCCGGGGCCGGGGGAGAGCGGGGCCAGGTTATGGGGGTGATCGGGCAAATGGAGGGCCGAGGAGCGGTGTCTGAACCAGCGGGCGCCCCGTCGCGCGCTGATCCACCAACATTCCCTCCCTCTGTCGGTCTGTCCTCCTTTCGCCCCCGTTGTTCCTCCCCGTTCGCCTCTTTCTCCGTCTCCCTGTCTTCCTCCATGTCTCTGTGCTTGCCTGCCTCCCATTATTACTCCTCAGAGCCACCAGTGAAGTGTTCTCACATCGCATGCGCGCCGGCTGTGCCGCGCGCAATTGTACACTACAAACATCCCCGAATACAAATACAAGACGTACTGCCGAGTGTTGTCTGGCTTCGCGCGTGCTCCAGCCGTGCGAAACTGGCCGACACACTATCCCCCCTCCCACGAGAGCCATCCACCAACAACATGCCCACCCCGCGAGATGATCAAAACCAAATAGCAGGAGGGGCCGGCAGGATGTTCCCGGGCAAAGGAGGGCGCCGATGAAATCCCAGCCCGATCGGAAAGCGCACACATATTCGCACACACGCCCGCACGCGCACGCCCGCGCCTCGCCGGATGCGCAATCGGGGCGAGCAGGGCGCCTGACACTCCCGGCAGTCCAATCATATGATCTCACACGTGCCAGGTAGGCATATGACCTCGAGTCATGCCCACTGGTCGGCTTCCTCTCGCGGGAACCGCCGGACAGCGGGGGGGATGCTGGCGCAACAGAGCATCATCGCTGGTTCCCGAAACCCGAGGAATGAAGCTTGTGTCCAGGCATCCCCGCCTGGAGTGTCTGTGGCAGAGGTGGGAAGGGGGGGGGGGGGGGGGACCGGGCTAGGAAGGGGATGACTGTCTGGCGAAGGGAGGGGGCGCCACCTGGGACTCATCGGTGTCCCAGGGGACGGAGCAAGAGGAGGACAGAGAGAGAGAGAGAGAGAGAGAGAGAGAGAGAGAGAGAGAGAGAGAGAGAGACGGCGATTTGAATGGTCCCTTCTCTTTTTGCGCGTCGGGTCTTCCCAGCTCGTGAGCGGTGATTTCCCTCAGCATCTGGTGGTCTTTCAGAGCCCAGACCAATGCCGAGGAGCTCGTAAGCGTGTGTTGATCGCACAACGTTGTCGCCCCTCCCCCCCCCCGCCCCCCGCCTCCCCTGGGCCGCGGGAATGGAGGCCACAGCCGGGAAGGCTGGGATTGTGGGACTGCGGGCCGGGGAAAGCCATATATCAGCCTCCCGGCTCGCGGGCTGGCGGCGCGTCCGCCCTTGGGGCACATCTCCACTTTCGGCCGACCTCTCCACACCCCCCCCCCCTCGCCCGCCCGCCTCCCTCTTCTCCACCATCCTTGACCATGTCGGCCGCTGGCGACCGGTCGATATCCCCCACGGCCGGGCAGCCTTTGCTGACGGCCCTCGCGCTGTTTGCCCAGAAGGCTCTGGCTTTGGCTCCCCGGCTCATTCGAGAGTCTCCCCTCACTGCCCACCCTCGAATCCTGCTTGGGCTACTGTCCTTCGGGGCCGCCGGCTGGCTGGTGCACCTGTCTCGACAGAAGTTCATCGAGTTCCGCAACCAGCGGCACATTTCCGCCGACAAGACGGCCGAACTGACCTTCTTCCGTGCCCCCTCGGCCGACGACTCCGCGGAGCCGGGCAGTGCGGAGGCCGACGAGCGGCACAAGCAGGACCTCTTCATGGAGCCTCCCATCCAATACTCGTCCATCAATCACAGCATGTTCGAGGTCACGGCATCGGTGCTGCAGCCGCCCATCCCCACGGGCAGTTCTGACCCCGGTGCCAGCGCCGAGATGCCTGCTTCTGACGCCGGGCCCTCCTCTGCCGGGGCCCCGCCCGATGCCCATTCCACCGACCCAAGCACGGCCACCGCCGAGCCCGACTCCTCCAGCCCGGCCAGCGGCTTCAAGCCCATCACCGCCGAGGCCATGCTCCACAGCCGTCAGAAGCACCACTCCTCCCGGTGCACTGCGTCGCCGCTGTACTGGAATGACCACCTCTGCCGGCATGGCCTGCGCTTCGGCCCGCCGCTCGATGCGTCTGGCATCTTTTGCCGCCACGCCGAGTGCCAGATCACCTCGCTGCCGGTTCGCCTTTGGCGCAATCTCTCCCTGGCGGTGGACTGCCTGCTGACCGGTGTACCCCTGTCGGAGCACTTCTTCTCCAAGGGCCGGCCATGCCCGGATCCCAGCCACCTTGACATCTTCCGAGACGGGCCCCTCGTCCGGCGGATCAATCACCCCCTGTATGATGTGCCCCTGGACCATGAGCCCCCGATCATGACTCGCGGCCACAAAGTCCGGACCATGACGCTGGCCTCGCGCTCGGCCTACTCGCACCTCCCGATCTCGACGCCCATTGAGACGGCCAAGCTCCTGTCGGCCTTGGCTTTCGACTTGCAACTGCGCTGTGCGTCCCTCCTTTCTGCCTCTTTCATTTCGGTGGCTTTTTATTTGGGGTCTTGTTCCCTCTCCCCATTAGCGCCTAACCTCGCCTGCTCTACTCTTCGCCCTGGCCCCCCCCCCCCCTTCCGCCTTGTCTTTTCCCCTCCGCTTTGTCTCTCTCCCTCTGCTTTGTCTCTCTCCCTCTGCTTTGTCTCTCCCCCTCTGCTTTGTCTCTCCCCCTCTGCTTTGTCTCTCTCTCCTCCCTCTCCTCTCTCCCTCTCCTCTCTCCCTCTCCTCTCTCCCTCTCCTCCCTCCCTCTCCTCCCTCCCTCTCCTCCCTCCCTCTCCTCCCTCCCTCTCCTCCCTCCCTCTCCTCTCTCCCTCTCCTCCCTCTCCTCACTTTACTGGCTGCAGCCTCCATCGCGCACAGGTCAATCAGCTGCGACAATTGCAATATGTCCCCCCTGCTCGGGATCCGTTACACTTGCCTCAACTGCCCGAATTACGATCTGTGCCAACTCTGCGAGTCCATCCAAAGCCAGGCCCTTTTTGGCATCACCAGCCAGCATTTCATCAACACTCACCTTGAGAACAACGATTCGATCACCAAGTTCGAGTTGATCCACGACCCGCAGCACATTTTCATGAAGATCAATCTGCCCGTTTCCTCGATGCTCTCCTCCTTCACCACAAACATGCCGTTGATGTATCCCCCTCGGAGCTCGCCTCCCGGCATTCCGACCGCCAAATCCTTCAGCCTGCCATTCCTGACGGCCCCGGAGCTGGCCGAGATCGCCGCCGCCGAGCCCCTGCTCACGACCATGGAAATCTCCGGGCTGTTTGTCATCTTCACCTCGGTGCTGTCCGACCCGGAAACCATGCGCATCACTCGACCAGCCTTCTACGCGGCCCTCGGGCACTATTCCGGCTTCTCCATCCTCACGGAGGATGTCCTGCAGCCGCAGCCCGCCGACGAGGACCAAGGTGCCTCCGCCCCCCCGGCCCCGGCCCCCCTCCAGCCGGATGCCCTCTTCTCGGCTTCCCTTTCGGAGGTGCTGCATGCCGAGCAGGGTGCGGTGGCCGCGCTCTCCGGTCGCCCGGCCCCCGGGACCGCTGATTCCGATTCCTCTGCCCTGGCTGACGGGCTGGAGCATGCCATCCGCCTGGCCGTCGACCAAGTGGACTCGCAGTGCTCCCAGCGCGAGCTCCCTCCCCTGACATACATTGCCGATCGTCTGTACGATTTCTACGACTTCGATGGCGATGGCTACATTTCCTTCCAGGACTATGTTCATGCCTATGCCACCACGCATCGCGGATCCCAGTCGGCCATTCTCCAGTGTACGTCGGCCCCCTTGGGCTCGGTGGCCTACTTTTCCCCCCTTTTCTCCCCTCCCTCCTCCCGGTGTCCTGTCACGCATGGGTGCACAGAAAAAAAAACAACCCCGAAAACACCCCATGCGTATATGGGCTTGCTGCAGTCCACAACTGACCTTCGCTTTGTGGCCCGGGCCCGGGCCGAACCATCCCCACCACCTCCAGCCTTCTTCCGGATCGCCGACCAGGACCGTGATGGCCACATTGACAAGCACGACTTGAACCGCTTCCTGCGGGGCTGCTTCAGCCTGCTGCAGTCCACCATCTTCGACCAGCAGCGCATGTCCACCGAGGACAATGACTCGGCGGTCTGGAACTCATCCGTCATCCACCGGGACTCGGTGGTCTCGGATCATCCCGCGGCCGATGACGTGTTCACCCTCGGCAATGACCGGGTCCCGCATGACTGGGATCGGCCCCTGTCAGCCGCTCTTTCCCTCAACAGCTCGGACCTTCAGGATGGTGTGCCCTTCAGCGACATGCAGAGCACGCCGGCGGACCAGCTGCACGCCTTCCGCACCGCCTTCTCCGAGCTCGACTCCGAGGCCATGGTCGACCAGATGATTTCCCGCCACTCGGAGAAAATCTTCGCTCGTCTGCACACCAGCACCCCGGGTGTCATTACCAAGAAGGAGTTCTACGAGCAGATCATCCTCCCGCTCCAGCGCAAGGAGGACATCAGCCTGTCCGAGAGCAACCTCTACTATCTGACCTTCTTCACCGAGATGCTCTTCTTGTAAGGCAGTGCTCCAAAATACACGTCAAATAAAAAATGCACACATACACGGTCGCCGTCCGCTGGTCGGCCTCGGGGCCATCCTTCCATCGGGGCAGACGGGAGTATGGCATTCATGTCCCGCCTGTGTTTCCCGGTTTGCTTGTGTGCGTGTGTGCGTGTGTGCGTGTGTGCGTGTGTGCGGGTGTGCGGGGGTGTGCGTGTGTGCGTGTGTGCGTGTGTGCG